GGAAGATATTTTTTTTGTTTTTTGGGGGGGGGGGGGGGGGATATGATTTGGGTAGTCATTAGGAAATAATTTTGAGACAATAATGAAATTGGTTTTACTTTTGTTGCTCAGGGAAGAAAGGAAGTTATCTCACTTCTCAGCCGTCGTAGATATAACGAGATGATGATGGCCTCTTTGGAAAAGAAGCGTCTTCGAATGTCTTCACTTGATATGAGATTTCATCTTCGTGATTTGATTGGTTCTGGTTATCTCAGAACTGATCAGACTCCAACTGGTTTAATCATTAGAGTCTCAAAAGATTAGAGATCCAGGAAGTCCTAGATGTTTGCATTTCTTTGTAATACAAACACGCTTGAAATGTCCTTTTGCTGCTGATTTCAAGAAGAGGTGCTTTGAATGTGTAATGGTTTATATCACTTCAAATGGTTGTCTTCTTTGTGAAATGACAACCTGTTATATCTTGGTTGATCAAGAAAACAAGCTTCGGACATTTGGCACCACTTTCACAACATATCAACGTGTAACAATTGAAATTGATGTAAGTCTGCTGTTCTGTTTGTCTTACATTGTACAATTATTTCTAATATATTCATCTAGGATCTCCCCCGCCGCCCTAACTTCAATTTCATGATTAACTGAAGTACTTATTATGTCCATCTACATTTCAGGGTACTCCTAGCTGGCCGAAATCATGTGACTAGGTTTTTGTGCTTTCATAACTTCTATTTAATGTAGTTCCATTGTTAATTTAATTGGTATGATTCATAGTTTGCACTAGTTTTTTTCAAAGGAAAAAACAAAAGAGACCCCCCTGTTTGTATTTTGTACGTGTCATTCACAATGTAATTTATTTTTAAAATACCCATTTAATCAAATAAAATGCAGATAATGCTAGCTTGGCATAGATACTTGGTACAAATTAATTCTTGATTGTCAGTTTTGATACATTGTGTGATTCATGTTTATGAAAAAAAAATTATTAATTACAATTTTAACATTTGTAAAAGGTTCTAAAATGAACAATGTTCTCTCCCTTGAATGTAATATAAATTTTTTTTTTCTAATTTACTTTTATAAATTACTCAATTATCATTGTTAAAAATAAAACATTTATTGAGAGTGAAGCTATTTTATTATATTAAAATGTAATATATTTATTGTTATTTATAATCTATGTATAGAAATTCTAAACTATGTTTATTGTGAGATGGAGTGAACAGTGTGATACCGAGTAAAAGTGACATTCTCTTGTTTATTGTATTGAATTGGACTGTCCAAGTTCATTACTACAAATATATCGTCGGGTTTGCTGCGGAGTTTGAGTTTTCTGCATTCATTTTTCTATGTATTCACAAATTTATTACTTGGAATATTTTTTATGTATCAGGTTTTAAACACGTATTCAAAATCCGAGTCGTTAGATTTTTATCAAAAGGTTACAAATGTGTTGCCTGGAAAATTACTGCCTGGAATCTGGTTCCGTTTTGTGAATCGTGTTCCGCACCCTGGGCTCATTTCTTGTATCATGAATTCATGATTTTGTTGAGGAAGAAAAATAGATTACATATGAATGTTTACATGTATAGGAGTTCAATTAGCAAGTATATCAGCTATTATATGTTATAAAACCTATGTATAATAAATTCAATGATTATATATATGCATATATATATATATATATATTTTTAATGAATTCAAGTATATCAGCTTTTATAGGACTGGCTAAGAATACGTTAAGAATTAAGCATTCTCATGAATATATTTTAAATTAAATCATTTTCATAAATACATACACGTGTTAATGAGAAGGTAAACTATCTCACTCTCAAAAGTAAAAAAGATGCTATTATATTAAAGCTAATAAAGTACATGCATGTACATTAGATATTAATTTTTATTTAATTAAATTTTAAAATATTAATTAAAAATAAAATTATTTGAAAAGTATACATAGTTAATTTTAATAAATAAGAAGGTATAAGTGATTTAAATTTAGTGGGAAATTTTAAAAAATACAAATATGACTTTAAAGTATAAATGATGAAAAATTGAGAGTAAAAAGGAAATATAAATATAAAAATGTATTAAATTGCCTATTTGAGAAAGTTGAGATTTGAAGGAAAAAATTTAACATAAAATATCTTAAAAAATTAGTTCATGATTATTTTTTTTTTGTAAAATTATATAAATAAATGTCAAATAATAATGAAGTTGCATTTGAAAATACAATACAAAAACTTACTTACATTCTAAAAAAATTACAATATACAAATAGATTGATAAATCAACCCCTATACCCTATATATTAAATATGAACCTTTATCTTGTGAGATAATATTTATGTATTTTAATTTTAAATATAATTTATATATTTAAATATAATATTTATTTATATATAATTTATTGTAAATTTTAATTATATGTAATGTGTATTGTAAAGGCTAAAATATTATTGTGTATTATGCTTGGTTTACATATTTAAAAAATATTGACTAATTTTAATTGTTATGCATAAATAATTGAGTAAAATGTAATTTTACTCTTTGAAAAATATTATGACTTTTTACTTTAATTTTTATAAAATATTTATTTTTAGTATTTATATTTAATAAAACAATATATTCATTCACTAAAAAGTAAAAAAAAAAAAAAAAAAAAAAAAAAAAGAAAAAAAAAAAACTAAAAGCATGTATAATAAAAAACCTACAACTATATGATTTCTTTAATATAAAAAAAATAATAAATAATTTTTTAAGCCAAACTAAAACCTTTTTCGTCCCTGTGAAACTAAAACATATTCAAACCTAAATAATTACTTGCATCAGTTCTTATTTGTAAGTTTTGTTGATTATTATTGTGACAGCAATCATCCTGTCATTGAAGTCACAATTGTAAGTAATTAGAATCCAAAGTGTTCAATTTTTATTGGTCAAGGTGTCATGTGGATAAAGGTGAAGGTACAATTAATTAAAGTGCTTTGAACCAGTCTATCCAATCATCGCAGGATTTGTATCTTCAGTAGTTACTTCTCTTTTGCAGTAAAGGGACCAACAAACAAAATAAATGAGTTTCATAATTTTCAATTTTGTCGGTTTACTTTTAGTTTGTTTTTCTCTCAAGATTGCTTTTATGCGATAATAATAATAATAATAATAGTTTGCAGTTTTCCTTAGCTCAATAGTAAACATATTAAACAAAATGATTTGGATGAACATTTATATGTGGAAAAGATATACTCTAAAATATTTGTAATGTGCAATTTTCTTTTTTTAATATTTCCTCTAAGAAATTACTCAACGATGAATGAAATCTAAGAAGCAAAGGGAAGTATATATATAAGCTCTAAAATGTTTTAACTATAGTGTCATATATATATATATAAAAGTTAGAACAATTTAAAGATATGGTTGGTGATATGTCTGTGTAGCTACAATTATCATCTTTTCTGTGTTAAAGTTAATATTAGATATCGTGTTCTTGGAAGAAAGTGTCAAATTCGGCTTAGTTACAAAAATAAAAATGTTGGCGTTTTATTTTCCAAGTCTCTGATGCGACGTTATGTCCTTTTACTCGGGGGTAGGAAACTTGTAGAAACATTATTGCTTTGGTTATTTAATAAAATGATATATTTCATCGTCATGGCTGAAATGAAACATAAACAATGAAATAAAAATGGAAGATGAAAGGGAACATTTGATCATGATATTTAACACACAAGAGGAATATTCCTCTATATACGAAGATTTTCAAAATTATTTTAATTTTTGAATATCAAGCAAGCTCGTAATTTATGTATTTATGAATCAAACTAGTTCTTTTCTTTGAAAATATTGTTAGAATGCGTCACCACGAATTAGAATGTTGATTCTCTTTGTATTCAACTAATTAATGTGGCTGATTACATATTCAAGTCTACAACATTCTATTGCATGCATATTCGAATATTCCTAAGTCCTAACTTGGTGCTTCGATCTAACTTTTTCATTATATTCCTAAGTCTAAAACATTCTACTTCTGTTGCATTTAATATTTTGTGCTTATCTAGTATATAATGCAGCTATGCTCTCTCACATCTTTATCGTTGTTGGATGCATTCAAATAGATACATAGGAGGAGTTGATCCATGAGATAAAAAAAAACATATATATATTTAATGAAGATAATTGGTATAAACTAAGCTTGGACCCATTATTGATTCTATTGAACATTCCAATATTGTTGAGTTGACACATAACTTTACGTGAAAGTTAAGTATACGCAGCCAGTTTGGACCATTAACTGTATCATATTAAAAAACAGTGATAAACAATATAAAAATAACGTTTTTACATATATATTTTTTTTAAGTTCAAGATCATAATTCATCCAATTTCTTAAAATTGATAATTAATGATTAATCTACATTTTTTGAGATGTGATTTTTATTTGTTAAACATTATTTTAATATTAAAAAATTGATTTAAAAATATTAGATGGATCTTCTATATCATAGAATAATGTTTACGATACTTTTATATAAATATATAAACTGGGACACGTACCCATGTATTGATATTATTTATTTGCTTCATCATCTGTGGACAACTTGTTTGTGTTCAGGATATATATAGCATGCATGCCTTCCCTCATCGATCTGACACACTAATTTGGTTATGAAAATGTCCAAACTTTTCTTCTGGGTTTAGATTTTCGATATTACGTAGTAGATAACAATTTGAAGTTTTGTATTATGTGATCCAAATGAATGCATTGAAGACGGGACCAAATTACACCATTCATATTTGATCATCCAATGCATGCATTTGTTAAGCTACACAAAAAATGGACAGGACCAAATCACACCATTCATGTGTCAATATCTTCATTTTGTTTTATAGTTTCATGTAGAGTTTATATTTATAGTTATTTTTTTTCTTTTACATGATATAGTTATTTAGAGAAGGTTATGTTAATTTTTTCAATCAAAATAATTTTGGACCAACTTTCAAAATAATTGCATAATTAAAGAACCAAAGGTTATTTTGAGATTAATCAAAAAGAATGATAATTACATTTTAATTAGAATTAAATATGTCTAGTACTTGTAAAATAAATAAGTTTTAATTTTTTTTTACAAATTGTTTTTATTTTATTTTTCAATCTCTAAAATTTTGAATTATTCCATTTAGTTCATATTATTATGCGGTCATATTAACCACTTATGTATTTATTAGAGGGTCAAGTGATTACTCTAAATAGTATCCACGATTTTTTGTGATGTTATGTTAGTGTGTGACGCATCTAATTTATTTTTTTTATAAATCTTTAAAATAAATATTATTTAGAAAGAATGATCATTAAGGATAAAAAAAGTTACTTTATCTTTTAAAGAGATAAAAAAAATATTTTACAGCGATCAAAATCAAAATATGTCCATTTTACAAAATTTAAAAAAATAATTCTAAATTTTGGAGAAATGAAAAAACAGATTTTTTTTAAATAACCAAAATTAAAACCCAATATTAAAAACTTATTTAATTTTATGTTTTATTATATAAAGTTAAAATACAAATGATTGGATTATGGCAAAATTTGTGTTTTATTCTAACTTGTTTTTTCTTTCTTTTTTTAATAATTTGGATTGATTTTTTAATAAAATAAATTATCTAAACGATAATTTTATTTTATTATTTTCCTTTTTGGTCATCTTTATCTAAATGATAAAGTATCTAAAAAAAATCTCAAGAAGTAGTGTAACGATTTTTCTACATAAGAGACAATATAT